GAGGCAGTTTGGGAATTCACGGTGTCTGCCCTATGAGGTAGACCAGATCAGGAACATAACTCCACAAGAAGATTGGAACTCTAAAACCATTGACTGAGACAGGGTATAGCAGGGTTTCACAACGTCAGCAGCTTTAAGAGGTGCAAAGTCGAAGTCTGCACCTCTTAAAGTCACTGATGTTGAGAAACACTGGGCTGCAGTAACAAAATCTTGCAATTCTGTTTTCTCTTCCATCCTTCTTATTCCTCAGGAAAACAGTCTGAGTCTTTTTCTAATACTTTCCTACCTCTCTGAGCTTAATACATGCTTCTTCTGTCCCTGTTGTTGTCTTACTGACTTCTGGATGGCTTCTCCAAGGTTAACTCCATGACCTATGGCCACCATCAACCTGACCCAAGTTAACTCTGCCCTGACTCACTGTGGAGACCACATTTTAGACCTGGCTTTTATCTCAAAACAGTGACAAAGTGATCGGAGTTGAGGGACATGACCATTGCTCCCTTGTCATTGACAGGTCACTCCCTGTTGGCTTTGGAATTGCCTGGTCCCAGACCTCACCGCAGAGAGGCAGGACCTTTTTGAACAATCCACCCCATACACTTGATGGACCCCATTAGCTTGTGGTGATAAAGACAGAAAAACATAGCTATTTTTCTGCCCTTATTGAATCTTCAGAGAACCAGCTGGTGGCCCTGTTTAGGATAACCCACTCTCTCTTATGTAAGAAGGTCTGGGACATATTTGCAGGGTTGCCGTGAGGACTGTTCTAGGTATCTGTCGGATCATGTTGCTCAGATTCACTTGGAGTTGGAACCAAGTGTTCCCACCCACGATCTTTCCCAGAGCCTGGAGGTTGGAGGGTCATTGGATGGGGGAGAACAAGCTTTGATGCAACCCTGGTAAAACTGGATAGCCATAGGTTTTAACACCCCAGATGTCCATCTTTAACTCTGCTTGGGAGTGTACTTTCCCATTTGGAGTTGTTGTGCAGTTGGGGGGTCTTCCTAGATGATGGAGTCTTTGATGCTCTCTGAGCTTCATTGTCCAGGTCTTCCTAGACTCTTGGCTCTTGCTTGAAGAGCAGGTGGCCGCTGTGGCCAGGTGAGTCTTTGCAACACTGGCTGGGGAATTCTGGAGGTTGCAGTCCACGCATCTTAAAGTTGCCAAGGTTGAGAAACACTGGATTCAGCCATGCACCCACATCTTTAGGGCTTAATGCACTAGGTGAATAGCCACTATGCTATGATTTCTTTAACAATGACTTATTGGATAAACTACCATTGGTTGAGTTTGCACAGACACGCAAAGCATGTTATGGCATACTGCACGATGTGGATCCAAAGCACTTCTTTTTTTACTATTTTGCTGAAATATTTATTTTTATTTACTCACGAGATTTATCTGCTGCCTCAATCCAAGAGAACTTGTATTAGTGAATAAGGATGGGCACTGTTTCAAATTTACCTGTTTCCAATTCAGAATGCCCTGTTTTGAATGCAGAGCACCTCATCCACGGCCAAGGCAGTTGTTTCGTTCTCAAGGGAGGGTGTTTTGCACTCAGGAGTGGCTGTTTCAAATTCAGAAGAGTTGGGCTCAAGACGTTTTGCACGCTGCAAAACATTCAGTTGGTGGTCTAGTGACTTACCTTTTCTCTCCCCCTTCCTTTTCCACAGCGGACAGTTTTGACCGAGATCCGTTCACACTGGCAGATAACTCTTCTTCACAATCTGAAGAAACTCAAGCACCGGGAGAAAATTTGGCGTTCTGCCAAACTAGATATCTATCCTTTCCTTTGTGTGCTGAAGGAGAAGGAATATGTAGATCTTCTGATGCAAGTAAGCTGTGTTGGTTGCCCCTTTGTGGCTTCTCCCCATTTGCAAGGGGAGGTGGTCTAGAAGGGCTGTTTCTCAGGAGGAGCACTAGCATGATAGGTCAGTCTCCCTATGGAGATAATGCTGCCCCCCCCCCCCGCTTCGGTTTCTTTCCTCACTGTAAACCAGTGTTTCTCAACCTTGGCAGCTTGAAGATGTGTGGACTTCCAGAATTCCCCAGCCATCTTCAAGCTGCCAAAGTTGAGAAACTCTGCTGTAAACAATGCTTCCAGGGAGCATTGGCGAGACAGCATTTGCTGATAGATTGGATGCTGCATTGGCAGGGGCATCAAAAAAGTCAAGATGCCACCTGCACCATCCAAACTCTACTCCTTTTTGCATGACACAATGCAACAGGGCTTGGGTTGCACAGCTTTGGCCATCTTGACTCTTTAGATTTCTCCCTCCCTTGGGCAGATGCATTGATCTGTGAATTTTTATGTATGGGTAGTCCTTGCTTAACAACGGTAATTGGAACCGGCAACTCTCTTGCTAAGCAGCGCGGTCATTAAGTGCAATGTCACGTGACTGCAGTAACTTACGACAGCAGTTTCAGCACTTCTAGTTACCGTCATTAAGCGAATCCCATGCTATTGTTAAGCATGACACAAAATTGTCGCCGTTTGTGACTTCCTGCTGGCTTCCCCATTGACTTTGGTGGTCAGAAGCTGGCAGGGAAGGTCGCAAATGGCAATCACGTGATGCCAGATGCTGCAACTGTCATAATTGTGTCTCGGTTGCCAAGCACCCAAATCGCAGTCATGTGACCGGGGAGAGACTGCGACAGCCACAATTATGAGGACCTGTCAAAAGTACCACTCATTCAGCACTGTCATAACTTTGAACAGTCGCTGAATGAGTGGCCGTAAAGCAAGTTCTACCTGTATAAGTTGTTGGTTTATTATTATTATTATTGTTATTTTTACTACTGCTGTGGATGCTTGATTTCTACAACTGTGGATGTTTTAATTCTGTTGCTATATATTCTGGTTGGTAAGATCTCCAGGCATCCAAACAGATTGCAATGAAGTATGGACCTGCTAAATACATGGGAGGCAAGAGAACTCCCAGCTGGTGATTGGTGGCTATTAAAAATAAGGACCAAACAACCAACCTGGTACAAAATGGGCAACAAGTTTGGGCATAAAGACCTGGTTTTGTCCATTATGCTAAGCCACGGTTGGCTTAATTTAAGGATTTTTTCACTAAACAGCAGTGACTTATCTTCACCATAAGTTACATATTATAATTTACCAACCGCAATAACTCGATCCACACAGCAGGTTAATAAGGGTTGTCCACAAGGGGGGTCAGAAAAGGCAGTATGTTGGCCAAAGCCCACCTCTAAAAGGAGCTGAACTTTGATTGCGCAATTGTGCTAGCCATCTTGACAAGCTGAATGGAATAATGCGTATCATGGCTTATTGCCATGTATGAACCCGGCCCACGATTCTGGGAGAGAGGAGACTAAGATTGAGTTCACATATTACCCAGAGCCATAGTCTGTTTAACCCTGGTTTGCTAAATCAACTGCAGTTGGCTGGGATCATACCACAGGTGAAGCCTAAATTTTGCTGATAAGTTATACAGTCATAAAAATAAGTAATACATTAAAAAATCACTGAAAAAAATCATGAACTGCAGTTAATTTAGGGTAAGCCTAAGTTTTGCAATAATATTATTATTTTAGGGTAATATTATTATAATATTATTATATTAATAATATATTAATATTATTAATTATTAATTTAGGGTAAGCCTAAATAATGCAATAATAAAAACCCTAAATAATAAAAATCAACAAAAAAATTAGAATGTTGCCTCTATTTTTTTTTTTTTTTAAAGTTAAAAACCTCTCCTGGCCACATCTCACGTCTCCTAAGGTCGTCTTTGCTCTGTCATCTCTTCTTTTCAGACAGTTTTCAGCCTGCCGGCCCTCGGGGAGAGCCTCACCATCTTGGCGAAGGATCTAGGTAACAGAGTCTACAATAAATACATCATTCTTAGAAAAACGCAGACTCTTTCGGCGGAGAATTATGAGAAGACCTATGATAGCTATGCCCATCTTTTTACCAGAGATAATCAGGTATCCAACTTCAGTTGTCTTAGGTGATCTTTAAATGCCTTCCTAGTTTCTTGATTTACCACTCTCATCCTCTGATTTCTTGGGTTCCAACAACTCAGGGCTGTTTTGGGCTAAAACTAGCTTCTTCAGAGTTGCTTTCTAGGGTGAGTTGATTGGTCAAGAGCAGAAGTTTTCAACCTTTTCCAGGCCACGTCAACTGTTAGTTTAAAAAAAAATGCCTGGAACTCCTGATCAAGAAGTAAAGCTCTAGTGACTGGAAAAATGGCAATATAATGAAAACTAAACTATTTAATGTAAATATAAAATCAATATTTCCAAAGTACAAAAACTTAAACTTGTAATTCACAGTTATTTGGAAGGTTGATGTTTTAACCAAACAAATCAATTCTTCAGGTGTTTTTCTTGTTACACAAAAATGTTTAAACTGCTCTTTTCTCCTCATGGAATTCTGCACATTTTCTTTTGAAATATTCAGGACTTTTATCTTTTAGGTTGGGCTGTTTGGTTTCCAGATGTCTTCATAATTTTGCGGGATTCAAACTCTTGTTACCTCATACAATATTTGCTATTGTTCAACACCCAGTCCGTTTGGTGTTTCTTTCTTGCAGCTCATGTAAAACCAATACTGATAAAGCTCTGAACATATGTCCATTTCTTACTTATGCTTGATCTTAATTTCTCAAGACTTGTGCCAGAAGCAGCAGCACTGGAATTTGTCTTATTTTTTTCCTGTTTTCACCTTTTTTCTTTACCATCTGCCATTCTACCAGTTAGTAGCCAGTGATCCTTATCAGGAAAAATATTTACAGGTAGTCCTTAACTAATGACCATTTGGCCAGTGGCCGTTCCAAATTACGACGGTGCTGAACGAATGGTGGTTACAACTGGCTCTCGGAGTTCTGGCTGTCCCAGTACCCCCATAGTCACATGATCACGATCTGGGCACTTGGCAACCTGTTTGCACTTATGACTGGTTGCCAACCCCCCCCATGATCACATGATCACCATTTGCAGCCTTCCCTGCTGGCTTTCCCAGAAAGTCAGTGGAGAAGCTGCCAGGAAAAGTTGCAAGTCACTGGGGGAAGTCTCCCCCATCCACACACCCTCCCCCAGCTCCTCTGCACTTGTGCCATGCTGGCCATTCACACCCCCCCGCATACCCTTTCCCTATAAGAAGTCCACGTGTCTTAAAGTTGCCAAGTCTGAGAAACACTGCTCTAGATCTAACTAGATGAACTAGACAAACCAACTCTGGCTTCTGATTCTGCACTAAAAACTCCCCCTGGTCACATAACTGCTCAACTAGTGAAGTGGGGAGTTAATCTGTAGGCAAATGCTCTAAATCAGGGGGTTCCAAACGGGGTTCCCTGAAAGCCTAGAGCTCTGCGAGAACTTGAGCGTCTTTCACAAGGAACTAAGGGGGGAAAAACCCAGAAATGTTTTGGTTGTAAATACACACTCAGTCATCCCATCTTCTCCTGCCTCCCCACTGCTCTTCCCCTCTTACTAGCTGTACGATCCCTGCATATTTGCAAGTGCTCCACACAGAAGCACTTTCCCTTTCCCTCTTCCTCATTTGGGTCTTCTGCGGTCCCATGTGTACATGCCCCACAACCAACTTCCTGCTTGCCCCCAAACAACTCCAACAAACCTTTCCTCCAGCGGCCCATGTTTCTTAAAGGGCAGCTGAGGGAGTCGAAAGCAGTAAGAACCTGAAATCCAGGAGGGGCTTCTACCTTGCTTAGCAACCCAAGAGCAAATTCCTCCCTCACTCTTCACTTTCTGTGTTGCAGATGGCATTTGGGTGTCCCCAAGAGTTCTGCTTAAACAACAAGGTGGCATCCTGTGCATGCCTACTTAGGAGTAAATCCCACTGAGTTGGGTGGGACTTAACCAAGAAGCTTAAGATTGCAAAGTTCGCTGCCACAACATAAGCTTCACCCCTTCCCTTGCCTCTACAGGTGAATAATTATTTGCCACGGGAATATTGGGAGAAACTAAGAGCAGAAGCAGGTTATAGCCCTTCCTTGACGAGCAACCAATGTGTCTGGCCCCCAAGCCTGCTGATGCAGCTGGGTTTTAAGTTGATGGAACTGCTAATCCAAAGTCTCAAGCTTGACAAAAAGTTGCTGCCTTCGCTCCCAGAAAAGTCAGTTATCCCTGTTCTGTATCATGTCTACGCCTTCCGCGGAACCAAGCAGGTGAGCGACCGGGAGCGCTGGTTAAGCGTGCAAAGCAGTGGGGAGCATATGCTGACTTCAGTTCAATTAATTTGCCAAAGGTGGTCTGCCTTTCCTTTCTACAGTGCCTATGATAGCACAAAATTGTAACACACTTTTATTTATTTATTTCGAGGCGTGTATGGCCACCTGTCTTATACGAGACAATCCTTAGTGGCTCAGAATGATATTAAATAATAATAGAATATATAAAACAGCCAACCCCATGACAATACCACGTATCCCAAGCGCAGCACCGCATCATCATGTAGACTCCCCAGGCTCTTACATTTGCTGGGCTCACTTCTAGTCTAGCCTGATGCCTGGGGAAAGAGCCAGGTCTTCACAGCTCTCTGGAAGGCTAATAGGGTGGGGGCCCTCTGAATCTCAGGGGAGGCTGTTCCAGAGGATTGGGTCAGTCATGGAAAAGGCAGGTCTCTGTGGTCCCACCAGATGGTAACATTTAAGGGAAGGGACCTGGAGGGTGCCCACCTCATCTGACGTGATGGGACGGGCAGATTCTCTTAGGGAGAGGTGGTCTTGCAAATAACCTGGCTCTATCCAATGTAGGGCTTAAAGGTGATGGGCACCTTGAACTCACTCAGAAGGCAACTGGAAGCCAGTGGAGCTCACACAGCGCCTGTGTAACATGGACAAAATGTGAAGCACCCAAAACTACATGAACCACTGCATGCTGGCCCAATTGTAACTTCTGAGTGGACTTTCAAGGGCAGCCCTATGTAGAGTGTGTTACAGTAGTCCAGCCAAAAGATGACCGAAGTGTGAGTGATGGTGAGCGAAGTCTCCTGGTCCAGAAAATGATGGAACTGGTGTGCAAGACGAACCTGTGCAAAGGCCCCTAAGCCATGGCTGCCACCTGCTGTCAGTCACACAAGGTAGACCAGACCAGGAAATTAACTCCACGACATAGTCCTCGCTTACTGACTGCTTGTTCAGCAACTGTACAAAGTTACGACAGTACTGAAAAAATAACTTTATGGCCAGTTTACGACCTTTGCATCATCCTTCAGTCATGTGATCACCATTACAGTCAGTACGTGTTATCCTGTGCCTGACCTGTCCTTTTCTTTTTTTCCCCCGTGCAGAGCAGAGAGATTGGAGAAGAAGGGATTGTAAGAGAGTAAGCTGTTTGCTCTTCTCCATGTCAAGAGCAGTGCGATTGTGCCGGCAGCCCTAGGCGGGAGCCGCGGGCTCACTATGTAGTGAGCTTACAGTATTCTCTTTAAATCTCTTCCTCTCCATCTCTCCGCTCTGTGAGTGGGGGGGAAAACAATAATTTCTGTAGGCAATCTCTCCTTTGCCTGACCCTCCCCAACCTCCTGCAGAGTGGAGAGATTGGAGAGGAAGGGATTTCAAGAGAGTACCGTAAGCTGTTTGCATAGTGAGCCCACGGCTCCCAGCCCCAGGCTGCCGGCGCAATCACATTGCATTCGATGTGTAAAAGACAGTAAGCAGGCACTCAAGCATGCCAAAGGGCAAGGGAAACAAAAGCTGAAGGTGTGAAACTGAGTAGTATTGTCTCTTTCCAGCTGGAAAGCACAGTCACAGTCACATGATTTCCCACTCAGCGGCTGCTTCACTTAGTGGTGGAATTGCCGCTCCCAATTAAGGTCATTAAGTGAGGACTACCTGTATTCCTGCCTTTGCAGCAACCTTTAGAGTTCAGGGCCAGCTTGCAGCTTTTAATCAAGGCTAAGATTATATATACCCCCTTAAACTATGCGGAGAAAGGACGGGGTCAGAATAATAGTGGTGGTAGTGATAGTATTAAGAATGGTAGTTGTTTTTTTTTAATCCTCTTTTTCTTACCTCTGCAGATAGGTTTCATTAAACCTCACTGTATTCTGACCCGGCTTCTTCAGGAGGCTTTTGAGACCACACTCACCTTCGACTCTTTTGTCCTTCCCATGCAATGTCCACCTGTGCCCTGGGTCTCTTCCCACTTTGGCGCCTACACCCTGTCTCCAGTCAAGCTGATGCGATGCGCTAATGGGGTGGTGCAGCACCAACTGCTTTTGGAACAGTGTCCCCATGACCACCTCTGTTTCGTCCTGGATGCTCTCAATTTCTTGGGCAACTGCCCTTGGAAAGTCAACCAACCCGTATTGGATTTGATCATCTCCATCTTCAACGATAAGGGCAATGAGAAATTGGGCATCCCGCCACCACCATCTTTGGAGGCCAAAGAGTTAGCCAAGCAGCTCGCTGAAAGTGCACCAATGTCCAAGTTGGCCATGAAGTGGAAGATGGCACAGTGCCGCAAGAAGGCGAGGGAGACGTACGGCTTGCGGATGGACATGCTATATAAGCTGTCCATCGCCAAGCACATGAAAGAAGAGGTTTTCTGGTTCCCCCACAATCTGGATTTCCGTGGGAGAACGTACCCTTGTCCACCTCACTTTAATCATCTTGGGAGTGACTTGACTAGGGGTATTCTCCTCTTTGCTGAGGGGAAACCACTTGGACCACGTGGCCTTGATTGGCTGAAGATCCATCTTGTCAACCTTACTGGTCTGAGGAAGAAGAGCTCTCTGAAGGACAGATTGGCCTATGCCAATGAGATCATGCCAGACATCTTGGAATCAGCAGACAATCCACTAACGGTACGTTCACGGGGGGTGCCATCTTTCAGTAAAGCATGCCTTTCTTGGGTACTTGTAGGGTTGCAGGGGTGGGCAATTTTTTGATGGCTGGGGCCCCATAGGAAACATGTATAGAGGAAGGGCACTAGTAAATGGAGAAAGATGCCAGGGGTGAGGCTATGTAAGCAGACCTGGAATTTTCACATTTCTCCTTCTTCTTGGAGAGAGTTTCATTCATTCTTCATTCTTTTTTCACTTTCTTTTTTTTTATTTCTTTCCCCCATTTATTTACTTATAAATTGTGTAGGTTGCTCTAGTCTGTTACAATTCTGGGTAGCTTACAAAATACAATAATAAAAATGCAGTAAAAACACAGAGTATCCCATCAAAAAGTCTGGAAGAAAACAACAATTTAAAAAAACAGAATGCCTCACAAGGGATCCATCACTCATTTTAACCCAGGGTCTGAGGTTTTAGGGGCTTGTTTAAATAGGCCCAGGGTAGAGGCCACACGAATAGTGGGGAAGAAATGGTGTTCTGGAGAGTAAGTGCCGTGGCAGAGAAGGTACACTTCCACGGTCCCACCAAGTGACATTGTTTAATTGATGGCACCTGGAATATTCCAACCCTGTCAGACCATGTGGGACAGGTAGAACCTGGGAGATAGGTAGTTCCTCAGATAAGCAGGCCTACGCCATGCTGGGCTTTATAGGTGGGGACCAGCACCCTGAATTGCACCCAGAAGCCAGCTGGCAACCAGTGCAACTCAGGGAGCAGAGGTGTCCTACAGCATGCCGTGGTCTGCCCATCATTGCTAGTGCTGCTGTATTCTGGACCAGCTGCAGCTCTGAGTAGTCTTCAAGGGCAGCCCCACATAGAACAGATTGCAGTAGTCCAATCATGAGGTGACCAAAGCATGAGTGACTTCTTAAGGACCTCCTGGTCTAGGAATGGACACACAACTGGTGCATTAGATGACTGTGCAAGGCTCTCTTGGCCAGAGCTGCCGTCGGGTGCTTGAGAGGAGCTGTGACTCCCTCCCTCCCTCCCTCCTACAGTCCCAGAATTGGCATTCAGGGTTAATGACTTTCAGGTCCAGCTTTTACTAAGGTAATATTATACAATAGATTATTTATTTGGCTTTATTTTACAGATATTTTTTATTTTACTGTCTTATAGCCTGTGCCACTCAAAAGATTGGATGGGGTGTGGGAAGCATCTCAGAAGGGACCCTCCCTAGTTTTCTGGAAAGTAAAAGTTTGATGGGGGAGGGAGGGAGGGAGGGAGGGAGGGAGGAAGGAAGGAAGGAAGGAAGGAAGGAAGG